AGTGTTCCCAGTTTTTTTTTTATCCTTTGGATTTTTTTGGACTACTTAACTGACAAGATCAATATTTAATGTAGCTATTAAAATACAAAGCTATGCAGAAAATATGCATTGTTCTCACATGATTGATGTCTCATGGATAATATACATAATATTCTAATATTTCATCTATTGCTCTATTCATACTCTGGCAGTCAGTCTACAGCTTACTCAACAGAATTTAAAGTATGTGAGAGGGGGTTTGCACTCAGTTTAAATATGAGCAGTAAATTATATAACTGAGCGATTAGCTGGATGCTATTAGGCAAAGAGGTAATTGCAAACATTACCCTATTACTCAATGCACCATAGACAGAGCTCACACAAAGACAACTGCTGTCGTATTTTTTTCTCCTGTGTCCCATCTATCTTGTCCCCTATCCCAAAAATACCATCAAATGGATAAGGCCATGATGTTCCTCTTCTTAAGTAAGTTGGAATGGCAAGTGCTTTGTAGACACCCCATTTCCTTGAAGTTGAGGCCCCTGCTTTCTGGTCCAATCACCCGCTTCACACCAAAGACAAAGTGTCACATGCATGTTGCATGTTTTAAGGGAAGCCACCTCCCTTGCTTGCTCTTAACTATGAGCACATTTCTCTGCACCTCACACACAGTGAACTACTTTTGAGGCTGTCTATGAGAGAAACTGCATTAGCTCTGACAGGCTGTCAACACAGAGATTGATAGTGTTTGAACAGGCAGGACTCTCTTGCCAAATGCTGGTAAAGATGCACAAATGTTTAAAAGTGAATTAGATATTAATCATCTGGAGTCTGGTGTTTTTAAGAGATATTTTAACCATTCACATTGTGATATTACATATAATCCACCAAAGGGTGATCACCCCCTCTCATATTTTGTTTGACTGTACTCTTTATATGTCAGTGGTTTTTTTGTGAAATTTAGAATGATAAGAATTAAAAATGTTTGACAAAATATCTACATGAGATATTTTTAGTAGATTAAGGAACATTTTTGTTCAGGCATTATTATTATTATTATTAATATTATTATTATTGTTGTTGGCTGCAATTTACTTTCCATAAATGAAATTGTCAGTTCACTGTACTGTATGCAACACATTAATAATATATAACATAACATTTATTTTATATTTACTATTGATATATTTTTAATAAAAAAATATTATGCATAATAATAATAATAATAATAATAACGTAAACTTCAATAAAAACTTCATATATATATATATAGTAAACAGATACAGCAATAGGGATATGCATTATAGACATACAGTAAAATAGGGACATGTGCGTATTCTTTTGAAAAATTGAGAATGATGAACAATTATTTTGTGATATTGAATTAAAGTGTTGAATGTAGAAAATGTAGAAAGTAAGGTACAATACAAAGCCTATGACAGTGTAATAAGTATTTTTATTGCATTTTATAATGCCATTGTCAATAATTAGTACAGATTACATGCAACTAGACCTACTGTACAGTTTTTTATTGTCTGCATGGACAGACACAAGAAGATTCAGGTTACAAATACACAGATATATGTGTTTTTTTTTTTTATACAGCATGAAGAAAAACGGCAGTGACTGGCATAAACATGGTCACCGGGGTTAGAACGACAAAGGTGGATGGCTAGATGCCTTTTTTTTTAAATTTTCTATACCATTTCAAAAGCCACCACCTATTCTTCCCCCAAGTCTCATCAGAAAAAGCAAAACAAACGTAAAAAAAAAAGAAAAAATTAAAGAGAAGTAAACAAACAAGTTAAAAGGAAACTAAAGTACATAAAAGTCACTGCTGGAAATGTACACACATTCGTAAAAATACAATGAGAGGAGTCGAAGTGGTAGTTCCATTTGATTGGCCGAAGAAGTTAATACCATCAGGCAAAAGCTCCCCTGCAAGGGTCCTTTACTTAGAAAACGGCAGCTCAAAGCTATTCATCACCGGGCAATGGAGCTCTGAGGCGGCGTGAGGATGTGAATAAGACATAAAATACTGCTGTTACCTGCATCACGCATTTGTTTGGTTACAGTTGTGGCAGACTTGATCGATTTGGAATACAAAAATCTAGCCACAATCCCTTTGGTGGTCACTGAAGATGAACTGCATTTCTAAAAGTCTTTTCACAATCTTATTTGGTATGCTACTGTGGAAAAGCCACACCAAGTTCACAGCAAATGGCAAACAGTGGTCAAAAATAGCCTGTGTGACTTTTATCTATCGGAGTGCCTGAAAGCATGGCATTTTAGAGCCACAAGGGTGCAGAGAAGCCAGAAAATAAGAAAGACGCTCTCGATCGGCATAATTCAACCAAAGAGAGCCACTTTCTCAGAGAATTTCTATACAAATCTGGAGAGCTATTGCCTTATGAGAGACAGCTTTGAGTGCTCATGGTAAATAAAGGAATGATTTGACTTTAAAGGGAGTCTGTACACATATTGGCACCTAAAAGGACCAATAATAATAAAAAGAAACACCTTAAAGTTGCTCTTTCTTATAAGCAAGAGAGGGCTACACATTTTTCTTCAATGTTTTTTTTTCTCTTTCATTGTTTTTCTGAAGTTTTGGTCCTGTCTTATGAGAAAAGTCCTTCTGAGGTATCATTACACAATGAGTTCAACTTTTTAGTTTGTTTTCTCTCTTTTTTTCCTTAAAAATGCATAAATGCACTACAGAGACAAAAAGTATCAAAATAGACCTAGCTAAGATAAATATACAAACAGGTGTGTTACCTAAACCACATATCTAACTCTTAATCTGTCTTTTTTCGAGAGATAATACACTAAAAAAAAATCATCGTCCCAGACGTTTTATGACAGAAGAACTGGGAAAACAAAAGCAAAAAAGGAAAACAAAATTTAACCATGATACCTGCAGCACATAATATGATAAATACATACACTTTAGCATAAGCAATACAGTATAGGAATTCTGAGCTCAAAACTTTACAATAGCTAAAAACAGGTGCAGAAAAAATAAAAGCCAAAAGAAAACAAGTAAAGGAAACACGAAAAGGAGGGAATGCCCTTGAGAGCTAAGCCGAGCGGTAATATACAAGAATACATCATTACAATGTGTGGAAAAGTAACAAAGGAGTCATGGCGATCACCACTGATGCGTTTCAGTCCACATCTTACAAAACAGCTTTGTTCACACGTGTACCTTAAAGCACAATTGTAGTCCATTTAGTGAATGCAGCAATTCATTCGTGAGTTTTTCAATTCCTTCGCAATCCTCAGTTCTTGTAGCACAAGCTCGTTGGTTCTCTTTGGATATTTTGGTTTCGTCGCGTGGTAAAAATAAAAGCCCGTTTTAGCAGAAGCGTGATGATCTCTTAGGGATGGTCTATGTGTGTGTGTGTGTGTGTGCGTGCTATTTTTCCACCGCCGTCACGAAGCTACACTTTGCATTAATTGGGAAGCGGGGTCCGTGCGAGAGTGGCCTGCGTTAATGCATTCTGCCTATCATCATTTCTGACACCCAACTGACTGGCCCATTGAGTACGCTCTAATGACCGGCCAGCTTGGTGGCTCTCATTGGCCTGGCCTCTCATTATGCATGTGGAATTAGAACACACAATTAAGCCTCCGCACAGAGGACCTGTACATAGACACTATGCTAATAGATCACTTAAAGTGGGGAATATGTGATTTGGAGTAGACCCTTTTAAATATGTTGACCACTTAATGCTTCATACTTAACAGGACTCAGCATTTTTTTTTTGTTGGAGGGGATGGAGAGGTAGTCGTCTCCCCCCCCGTTGTGTCTCATTTATTTGTTTCCATTCATGCTAATGAATTTGGAATCGAGAGGAATCGACAAGCTCCGTTCACAGCTATGCAACAATAAACATATTTTGGTTTTTTCGACAATGTGTGTTTGCGTTTTATTTGTATTTATTTTTTTTTGTATTTTGTGGGTGAATGAAAAACTAGAAGGGAGTTATACCTTTTGTATGACTATTGGTGACTTTCATTGGCCTATCTATTTTGTGAACTGTTTTTAAAAGGAGGTAGCATTATTTTTGGTTTTATTTCTTTGAAGGTGTTTCGAAGGTGTGTATGAAATGAACATACAGCCCAGGTATGTCAGACCATGCTTAAAAGTGAAAAGAAGGATCCCCCAACATAAAAAAACTGGAAACAGTCCTTAAAATGAGTCCCTATCAGCCATCCCTTATTAGTGTGGTAAATAATACTGTTCAACAGGCAGGGTAAGCATAACAAGCAAGTGCTTGCCTGCTTTTTTTGGTATTTGTTGAACTGCATTTAATTGTGAAATACTGGTAATTGAAGTAAACCATAATGCTGAGTAATTGCTGCTGGCTTCTAGTGTCACAAAGTACATTAACTGTTATTTAAGTGCCTTTTGCATGTAAAGTCCTTTGCAATCTTAGACGGTAAAGACTGCATCTCAACACTGCTATTGCCTGAGCACAAGATGGGGTAGAGAGCTTCCTTTCTCAGATCGTAAGTGCTTGTACATTAACTAAGGAACCGTGAGAGACTTGTTAATACTGCTTTTTGTTTCATTTTCGGTTTGTTTTTGGCCTTTAAACATATGTAGTGTTAAGAACTCATTAGGTTAACGTATATTAAAACAGTTTTCTCCTTTTTAAAAAAAAAAAAAAAAAAAAGCTTTTGCATTTTACACTTTGGTTTTCGGAATGCTCTGTAGTGTAATTAAAAAAACCCAAATTATTTAACTGGAAAAAAAAAGGAAATTTAAATATTCAAATGACGCGTTTGTGTTCTTTTGGCCAGTTCTTTAGGAAGAAGAAAATGATAAATAAAAAAAAAGAGTTTTTGGTTTACTAAATATCTCTTTGGTTACCTGTAACAAAAGTAAAATGGGGAAAAAACTAAAAAAAGCAACATACACTTTGGTTTTCGGAATGCTCTGTAGTGTAATTAAAAAAAACCAAATTATTTAACTGGAAAAAAAAAAGGAAATTTAAATATTCAAATGACGCGTTTGTGTTCTTTTGGCCAGTTCTTTAGGAAGAAGAAAATGATAAATAAAAAAAAAGAGTTTTTGGTTTACTAAATATCTCTTTGGTTACCTGTAACAAAAGTAAAATGGGGAAAAAACTAAAAAAAGCAACATATATTAAATTAAAACTTGGAATTTGGCATGGCACTAACTGAGAAAATAATTTTTTTTATAGTTCAGCGAAAGCAAAATCTCACATGCTAATCAGACACTTTCTACTCACACAGTGAATTGCAAATAACTTTTATATATCTAGTAACTATAGAACTTTGAACTGATAATGAGAGAGTCACCGTGTTGGTTAGCCACAGTACAAATCCCCTTTGTAATAACAGCGTGAGGGGGCAAACACTGTGGTCTGAGGTATTCCGTGACCTTGTTATCTTTTACCTTAAAGCAATATTTTGTATCGCAGCTGATATCAATTGGCTACTACAGAAAATTCTGAAACGAACAAAGTAAATGGCGCAAATCTGGGAAAATAAGATCTAAAATTTCTAAATAATTGAACAAATGAAGCAAATTTGTGAAAAAATAAGAGAGATATGAGTGCATGTGAAGTCTTTTTTTTTCTTTTCTCCAGGATCTTACAGGGAGCCCTGCAATGTGTATTCCACCTCTGTCTCTTTAGTTTCAGCTTCTCACTGCTATAGAAATGTTTGAGTGGTTTTGTTGGTATTTCACCTTATATTTCATCTGTGGTTCTGTTTCGGAAGTTTTCACTTAATGCTAAGTGCTATCCTCAATACTCGTGATCCAATGCTAGGATAAATTTGGAACTTTTTTTGACTTGAGTTTGTAGAATATAGGATTTTGGAACTTCTCTCCCAAATGTAACCCCTTTTTGGAATGATGAGAGAATTTAAAAAACAAAACAATCATTAACAGAAGACATAATAGTTGAATTACATCACAATGAAAAATGTTGATCCTTTAGAAATAAATGACTATGAAAGTAAAACGAAATCGAAAGCTACTGCACACATATTATAATCAGCGATACAGTCAATAAAGTCTCTGAGCCGGTCCTCCAAAAGCCTCGTGTCAGTCTGGCTGTCATAACAGCACCACAGGAGAACAACAGCGAAAAAGTTCCTTTTCCTGAAATATGCCTTTTTTGGGGGTAGCAACATTTTCTACGTTTAGTCTGACAAAGAGCGAGGGGGAAAAACACGTTTGGGCAGATTCTTGCAGATACCATCAGATAAAGATAGGGACAGCGCAAGCATCCGCCGTTTAATCGGAGGCTAACACTGCCTCGAGACAGAACGCGCCCCCCGTTTCTCTAGTCCAGTCATGTAAGGGAGACAAAAAAAAAAAAAAGGGGGTTGGCCAGGTGGCCAAGGACGCCGTCACCAGTCTTTCAGCTCATTTTCTTTCAGTCTTTGCCTTTGTAGTGAGTGGTGAACTTATCTGCGTGAGCGCAAAGTTACTGAGTCTTGCAGCATCCCCTTGAACGAGTACAAAAATCCGGTTGAAATCAGAAGTCATTCTAAAGATGTGTGTTTGTCATCTTTTTCCTTTTTTCAAACATCTTTCTGAGGTAAATCACCGCTGTGTATTTATCCCATAGAAAAGCAGTGTTCTCAGGCCCAAAGAACATCAAAATTAAAGCTAAAAAAAGACTTAAAGTAAAGAAACCTTGAGTGACTTGTGGAAAGAAAAAAAAAAAGACTAATCTTGTATACTGATGTTAGGTTTCCCTCAGTAGCTTTAGATACAGTGGTCCATACTTCTATCAGACCATGTTTCAGAATACAGGAGGACACAATGCACAGCTGCTCAAAGGGCCTTTTTGAGGGTACACAAAAATTAAGGGGGGAAAATGTGTTTTTGCATTGTGAACTGATGAGGTCTAACCCTGTTTTGGTTTTTGAAGTTGTAGTTGATTTTTTTTAAATCTTTGTTTCTCACTTGATCTTGAACATCTTGTGTATGAGGGAGGGAGGGACAGGGCCAGTGAGCTCCGCCTCCATCAAGCCTTCCTCCTACTCCAGCTCCTCTGTGGGAAGCTCCTCCTCCATGTCACGCTCATCACCGGGCATGCTCAGGTTTTGAGTGACAGATGCCATAAGGGACATGGGTCTGCTGTCCTCCTCCATCTCAGCTGGCTCCTCCTTCACATGGACTTGGTGTCTGAAACAGAAATAACATGCAAAAAGTCAGTCTGAGATTACAGAAGCATGATAAACATGTCATTTTTAAAATGTTTAAATTGCTTTCAAATATAGAAAACACTACTTTAAAAGTAGATACATTTTTAATAATTTATAATTCAATAAGGATTAAAAAAATATGTATTATATATTTATATGATATTATATTATTTGTAACATTTAATGTGATTATTCTTATCATTAAGTTAAATTCAGCATGGACGCATTACATTGATCAAATGTGACGAAGACATTTATAATGTTACAAAAGACTTCTATTTCAAACTATTTGAACTTTCTATTCACCAAAGAAAAAAAAGAAAAAAAGTAAGATGATTTTCACAAAAATATTGGGCAGTCATGATAAACATGTCATTTTTAAAATATGTTTAAATTGCTTTCAAATATAGAAAACACTACTTTAAAAGTAGATACATTTTTAATAATTTATAATTCAATAAGGATTAAAAAATATGTATTATATATTTATATGATATTATATTATTTGTAACATTTAATGTGATTATTCTTATCATTAAGTTAAATTCAGCATGGACGCATTACATTGATCAAATGTGACGAAGACATTTATAATGTTACAAAAGACTTCTATTTCAAACTATTTGAACTTTCTATTCACCAAAGAAAAAAAAGAAAAAAAGTAAGATGATTTTCAATCTATATAATAATAATCAAAATATTGGGCAGTAATATTAATATTCACTCTTTTCAAAATTATTAATAAAAAGAAATGATTCTTTAGCACCACATCAGCATATTAGAATGATTTCTGAAGGATCATGTGCCACTGAAGACTGGAGTAATGGCTGCTGAAAATTCAGTTTTGCATCACAAAAGTAAAAAACATTTTAAATATATGAAGAGTTAATTTGCAAAAACAGGTAACTCCATTTTTAACAATTTTCTAAAATCATGTTTTTTCATTGTGCATTCCAATTAATTACATTGATCAAATGTGACGAAGACATTTATAATGTTACAAAAGACTTCTATTTCAAACTATTTGAACTTTCTATTCACCAAAGAAAAAAAAGAAAAAAAGTAAGATGATTTTCACAAAAATATTGGGCAGTAATATTAATATTCACTCTTTTCAAAATTATTAATAAAAAGAAATGATTCTTTAGCACCACTTTTTTTTGATTTCTGAAGGATCATGTGCCACTGAAGACTGGAGTAATGGCTGCTGAAAATTCAGTTTTGCATCACAAAAGTAAAAAACATTTTAAATATATGAAGAGTTAATTTGCAAAAACAGGTAACTCCATTTTTAACAATTTTCTAAAATCATGTTTTTTCATTGTGCATTCCAATTAATCTCATTCAAACTGCAGTTGGTTTATTTTTATTAGGTAAAAAATAAGTAAAAAACACAGCTAACTAACACAATAAAAACATGATAACAAATTAAAATAGAAAAGTTATTTTGAATGGTAATATTATTTCACAATACGGTCTTTTTGGATCAAATAAATGTTTCTTGGTGAGCAAAAGTGACAAAAACATTTCTACAAATCTTACAGATCTCAAACTTTGGAATAAGAGTGCATTGAATTTTCATTGAAAATACACACTACAAATCAAGGCACTGGTAATCAGTCAGCTGGGAGTTGACTAGTCTTACCCGTACTGCTGTGGAGAAAGTCCAGGGCTGCAGCTGCCGTTACTGTTGACTTGTTCAACAGTGCTGCTGACATCATCGTGGCCAATGTGCAGCATGTTGAGGCTCGCACCTGTGCTGTTGTTCATCAGGGTGGGGCTGTTCAGAAGACCAAGACTGCTCTCCGCAAGTGCAGCCTGCACACACAGTTTGAAAGGATTTAGACTTTCTCAAGAGTTAAGAGAGATGCAATGATGGCTATGTTGCTGTAAAATCATAAGACATCGTTGACAGTTGTCTGAAAGGTCACTGTAATGAAAATATTGTCATACTGTACGTAAGTTGAGGAAGATGAATGCAAGGTGTAATCAAGCACAAAGCCCTCTGGTGCCCCTTTACACAGACAACAGTGTATATTTATTGATTTTACATTTATATGAATTACTAAAAGATAAATGTGCTGACTGGATAGATATAATCTGTGTGTTTTAAGAGACATCTGGCAGCAGTGGTGCAGCAGGTTAGTTTGTGTCACCACTAGGGGTCTCCTCGCTTCCATACAATAGACTTGACTGCTCGCTGAAATAAACAGAAACGCACCAACTCACACTGCTGTTACACATGTGCTCATCTCCAAAACTCATTAATATATAAAATACATGAAAGTATGTTATATTGTTTGGTAATACTTTTCTTAAACTTTTTTATTGGAGGTGGGGGTGGGGGGTGGGGTTAGGTAAAAACTGTAACAGAAGATAGTGACACTTACAGTGGGGTCCAAAATTCTAAAAAACACTAGTAAAAAATGCTAGGTAACACTTTATTTTAAGGTGTCTTTGTTATACGTTACATGTACTTACTATTATAATAACAATTAATTATGCATAATTACATGCAAGTAACCCTAAATCAAACCCTAATCCTAAACCTAACCATATAGTAAGTACATGTAATTAATTAATATTACTCAGTACTTAAATGTATAATTACACTGTATATATATATATATATATATATATATATATATAATTACAATAAAATGTATTTAATGATAACTTAAAGAATATTATTTATAATAATCCTAATTATATCATCATTCATTGCATCATTCATCTTTGAATTATTATTTAGAACTACGCTGTCCATTTTGAGTTATTTTTATTTTGTTTCTTTTTAAAAAAATCTATATTTTCTGTTGACTACATTGCACACTCAGACTGGCTTTATAGACACATAATTATATTACCATAAACTGTTAAAAAAAACAAAACTTCAAGATCCAAGGCAGAAGTAATGGCACATCCATGTAAGTGTAAATGTTAAATTCATATTACCATTACTACATACAGTACAAATCTACATAAACAACTATGCATATGGATATTTTAATGCATGAGGAAAGGTGGAACGGAAAATTATTCTGAACTGAAATTTTTATGTGGTACTCATGCCAATTCAAACAGTAGTGACTGCCCAAAATATGCCGAGAGAAAGAAAGAGAGCGATGGAAAGAGCAACAGAGAGAGAGGGAGAAGAAAAATGAAAGAGTTTGAGGGAAATCCATTCTGATTCTGTGGAGACTGGGTGGTGGCGAGAAAGATGATCAGGGTCACACAAGGTTAAAAGGATGTGAACCAAATAAGGGCCATTTTTTTACCCTTTAACTATAATTAACTAGAAGCCACCTACGATTTTGGCAAAAATAGACAGATGCTTAATGCCTGTTTAATGAGATGGCCAGGTTGAATCACTTTTAAAAGGTCAATTTCAGGCAGCCATATGCAGACTAAAACACACTCAAGGAATTACAAATGGAAAACAGCAGAGTCACACTTTGGTAGGGCATTGTTGTGCACGCCAGAGATCTCCACTGTGTGTCTGATCTTTTGTTAAAGGCTAGTTTATGTGCGGACTTTTCAGGATGAGCAGTTCCATTTCCATAGAGATGGCCTGCGGGGTCAGAGTGGGACAAACTGGGCCAGGCTGCTGGAAGTGTGTGTGTGTGTGTGTGTTGGCCCGTGATTAGCTGGGCTGTTTGTTTGTCAGGCGCTGACACTGCTTGTCCTGTGAGGAGATGGATGGGCGCAGACCTGACAGAGCGCCACACACGCTCACACACCCAGACCAGGACTCAAACACAAAGGCTAACCTCCCAGATCCATCTCTGTCTCGTCACACAGCGTTCTTGGGAAAAACACACACACACACACACACACACACACACACACACAAACACAGAAACACAGAGCCAGGCTCCGAAAGCTCAGAACGAGAGTCGCGGTGACACCGTGGGTTTCAGATGGATTTTCTAGGACAGACACTAATTTTATGCTGTGACCTTCATTGACAAATATTTGATGCTATAAATCACATATGGCTGGCTGGGAGCGCGTGTGCGATGGAGGGAGGAGAACGGAGGAGGTTTGGGAGAAGTAGCTAATTAGAAGAGGAAATTATTATCAGCGCCCTTGTGCGCTTGATCTTGCCCAGATCTGCACAGGATTCCCACACTTTCTGAGGAATGAATTTTCCAGGATCTTTCCAGTTGTTTACAACTACTTTACTCATTCAGAAAGATTCACTCATGAACCATTTAGACCAATTGAAATAAACTGAAAAGAATGATTCGTTCACATGTCAGATCTCACTACAGCGACTTTTACTTTAACATTTAGCAGACAAAATATTTCTGAGCTCTAGAAAAATGTATAGTCATATTTAGAAAAGTTTATGACTTTAAAGATATTATTTTCCATGCAAATTCTAATTCAGACCGATTTGCTAATGAATCCTTTAGTCCAGACTCTGAACTGGTTTGAGACGGCTTAAAAGATTCATTTACAAATCAGCCAATCAAAAGATTCAATGATGAACCAACTCAAAAGAATGATTCACTCACATGCGAGTCACTATGGCTTGCTCAACACAAAATAAATATTTAATCATATAAATAAATCTAAATAATATATTTATAAATAAACACATTTTTATAATAATTAAAAAAAGGTTATTTGTGACGAGTTTCACAATCTACATTTTAATATATCGGGCTACATTCCTCCATCATTTTTAATGATGAATGCATAAAGGTGTCGATTTGATGTAATGAAGGCACTCACCTGATAGCTGGCATTCAGAGAGCCAAATCCCAGCCCAGAAATCATATTCTTCACGAGAGTGGGACTTCTGAGAAAGAGAAGAAAGAGAGAGGGTGATTAAGTACATGTGTGGATTACAACAAAACACATCTGACCGGAGCGCATGTTAAAAAAAACCTCCCAAACCCGTGAAAAATGCTGCGGCACTATTCTATTTACAAGAGATAAATAGAAAAGTTAAACAATCGAGAGTAACACATGCATTCTGACACAGCATATACTGCACACACACTACTGTTTGTTCGCTTTTGTGTCGGTGCGCTACAGGGCTGAAATCTGCGGCACAGGCCGTCAGCTGGGTAATTTGCCGTCGTCTCTTTGGCAGAGCTTGAGACGGCGTGTAACATCTGTTTGTACAAATGCAAGCAGGCACGCTTTTCTGTGGTGCATCTGCTCACAATGTACCCTAAGCAGTGTAGACACAGACGGAAAAAATACACAGGCGCACAAACACACAAGCATGCACTGCCAAACACAAGCAGGCAAGGCACAAAAGAGACCTTTGTGCTTTTGACTAGAGAGTCAGTAATAGGGTAATGATGGGAAGCCCATTAGGGTAATCATACATGCCAATAACGATTATAGCCCCACTTACAGAGCAGACCTACAAGCTTACGCTTTTACTACAGGGATAAAGCCTGTTTTGGGACTTCTGCTCAATAAATAATCTTCATTTAAAAAGTGCTGTTTTAATCTGGTGTTTCACAGGTTTTTGTGATTACTATGACTTCAGACAGGCTCCTATTTCAGTCTGCAAAGCTAAAGAAAGTCTCAGTAGGCATTCTTAAGAAAGCCAAGAGTGGCAGCACAACTATTTGACATCAAACGTCATTGGTCAACTTGCCTCAAGATGCAATATTTGATTTAAGAGCTACAGCAGAGGTGAAGATCATTAGTGAGTAGTAATTATATTTTGGTTTGGCTACAACGTAAAAATAAATTATGAATTATCATATATTTTAAGGTAAAAACAGTAAAAGGACAGTCCCAGAAGTCCCTGTGTGATGCATCACATTATATTTTGTATAAATAATTTTGTTTCTTTTTATGTTTGTTATCAGTAATGTACATTAGGGTGTTTTGTGTTACATTTTATGTTTACTTAATGTTTATTGCATTATTTTAGTGTTGTGTGTTACCTTTTGTCTTTGTGTCTACAGTATGGTCAATCTATATACAATTATTGGCCATGTTTTATGGACAGGCCACATATATTTAACTCTGAATAAAGGTATATTAACATTATATCACTTAACTTGTTACTTAAAAAAAAAAGTGAACCCCCCCCACCCCCCAGTGTATTATATCAATTCAGGAGTCTTGGAATATAGTACTTTTATGATATTTTTTTGAGAGTGAGTGCTGCACCTTTTCTAATTAGATTTTTGGTTGCACCTCCTTTTTTGATGGTAGAGCACCTCTTTTCAGAAAAAAATAAAATTTTTTTTTTGGTGGACTTAACACCAGACCCCATTCACTTTTATTATATGCCTGAAAATGTAACCAAATTTAATGGAATAATCTGGAATAACAAGAATTTTAATCTTTGGGTCAACTATCACTTTAAAGGTGACCAGTCTGAGTCTACATACCCGGTCATCTTTGGTGGTCTCCTCTTTTGGTACTCCACTTCGTCCACGGTCCAAACAGCACCCTTGACGTTCTCGACCCGCACAAAGCACTTGTGCAGACTCAGGTTATGGCGCACCGCATTCTGGGTAACAGCGACGGGACATAGAGAAGACAGAGCAAAAAGTAGTAGTCAGTCTCCCGTTCCAGCCACGACTCAACGCTCTAGGTATCTTAAGCAGAATCGCGACCGCGTCGCTGTCATTGCTGGAAACGCAATTATAGCGCGGCCTGATATAAACAGCCTTTAATAATGGCATAAATCTTATACCTGCTTTCTAATTAAAAGAGTGCATGTGATGATGAGCACAAAAGATTGTACGGCTCAGACTGAGCGTATCTCTCCATCTCGAACCCGTCCCCCTCCCGCCCGCACCATCTCACAGACACACAACCAATTAAGTGCACATTCTACTGACAATGTGGTGCCACACCATCATAACAGTGGGGAGTTAACAAAAAAAATCCATCTTTGAACGCAAAAATATAAGAAACGATGCGCACTATCCCCCCTCCACCATCAGCAAACCCACTCCCTGCTTTTTTATTTTAAATTTCACTAATCAGCCACTATCTAGAATAACACCCCCAAGGGAGGCCCCTTCCTTTTCATCTGCTATTTGTAGTTTGTTCATGCCCAATTTCATTACCAATTTTAATTCGTGTATAATTAAATCCTGTGTATTTTTTCCGATGCACTCTTTTTTTTTCTGAATCCATGAGGGAGGGACTGCTGATGCCGGAATCACTCCTAACCATAATTACAAGTGCCATAATCAGGCGAGGCCTCCCTCCTTTGAATAAATTTCCCCGTGCAGGAGCGATGATGCTTAGTTTTGCAAATGAGTATGACCCCAATTTCAGCCTGCCACCTCACCGATTTTATTTGCATTCCCATCCGTGATGAAAGACTAATTCTCCCAGTTAAAACATTAGCAGCAATTTAAAGGGGGTCAGCCTCTGCAGATATAAACAAAATGCCGCCTGGCTGTGTCTCTGTCTCTGTGTGTGTGTGTGTGTGTGAGAGTGAATGAGTGACTGGAGGGGTGGCGGCTATATTAGAAAGATGGCACGCTTGATGCAGATGTCAAATGCGTCTCGGTTCCTTTGGTGATGAGGGACGACACTATAGCCACCATTTTAGCTTAGAAATGAACAGCGAAGGTAAATGTAATGTACAGCTTGAAACTGTGTTCTGCAGTTCAGAGTGAAACTGGATATTAAGGTTATTCAGTTTTTAAAGATATTACAAAATACTTTTTTTGCACCGCTGAATCGCTCATAGGACCAGGAACATGTATTAAGAAAGTAAATATGGGTCAATTTCAGGCACAGTGGGCTTAAAAGCTACACAGCTTACCAAGGACAAGGTTGAATCTAGATACTAGTGGCCTCACACAAAAAAAAGTACCAGTGTACAAGTGGAATGAAATATTTTGTGTGGGTTACAAATATCTCCCACTTTATATACACAATCATTAGTTAAACTACTGCTGTGAAATTCAGAAAAGCAATGGGAAAGTTAATGAAAGAATTACACAAACTGCTGACAGACATCTCCATAAGCAAAAAAATAAAAAATAAAAATAAAATTGCAGGTGGTGTGCATGAGACAAAGGTGTGCTGAGAAATCTGCATTTAGAGCTGGGTCATTCTTTGAAACTGACATCTTTTCCTGATTGATAAATTACTTTCTGATTTTAAACCTTCTATGAGAAAAATAATGTATTGAGGTATTAATAAATTGCATTAATAGAACAGCTAATTTCTTTAAAATTCCATGAAAATACATATATTGTATTATACACTATCGTTCAAAAGTTTTCGGAATTTACTTTTTATTCAGCAACGATGCATTAAATTGATCAAAAGTGACAGTAAAAAGTTAAAAACAAACTTTCCATCCATCAAAAAATCCTAGAAAAAAATATATAGCCATTTCTAGAAAAATATTAAGCAGCACAACTGTTTTCAACATTGATAATAATAGGAAATTTTTCTTGAGCAGCAAATCAGCATATTAGAATGATTTCTGAAGAATCATGTGACACTGAAGACAGGAGTATTAATGATAAAAATTAGTTTAGCCATAATAGATTTTAAATATATTAAACTAAAAAAAAAAAAAAAAAATTGTTTTACTGTATTTTTGTTCAAACAAAAGAAGCCTTGGTGAGCATAAAAGACTTCTTGCAAAAACTTAAATCTTTATAGTGCCACACATTTGCTTTTTATCAAAATAAATGATAAGAAAATTAAGGGGACGTTGCAATTACTGAAAGTTAGCATCAGCTCTACACTTAAGTCTATGAGGGACACAAATAGCAGCAGTTTTGCAGAATGACCCAGCTGGTGTCCATCTTGTGAATAAAAGTCGCCTTTTAACTGATCAATGACTTCCTCTACTCTCCGGACCTAACTTTTCATGAAATATAGATGGCCATTAAGAGCACCGGAGAACATGCATCTCTATTTCTATATTTAATACCGGGCCAAATGACTGGCAAGAGAGGAAGACAAGTGAGAACGTGCAGTTATTAAAATAAAAAGAAGAGAGAGAGTGTGAAAAGGTACTATAGGATGGGGAAAAAAAGATCTCTGGCTCTGGTGGAGGAGGAAAAGTAGACGGATCCATTAATTGCTAAATTTCATAAAAGTGAAATGAGTTGTTAAAGATATTCCTGCCACTTTCACCTCCTTCCTCTCAACTCTCACTGGCTAAGCTCACTAACTGCTCCTGGGTGCCGCTGCGGTTCAAGACTATTAGCCTGCTGTTCTGTCTCAATGCCCTCAGCCTCCTTTGGTCCCTCTCTCACCTCACCTTCTCCGATTCTCTCCCTACTTCCTCTCCTCCAGAGGCTCAGGCACACAAATGAGCCTTGGGCCAGTGTTGGTTGAATGTGGGGCAGCACCTCCTCAGTCCAGGCTCCAGGCTATAGGCCACGTGAATGGCTAATGAGGAGACTGACTGACAGGAAACGAGCTACTCTTTGCGGTGTCCGTTTCCTCTCTGGCCTGACAGCACCTTGCCAAGCTCCTAGACCACAGGGGGAAGAGGAGGATGGGAGGGATGTATTAGCACATCTTTCTGAGGGGCGAACTAATGGCTAAGCAGGGTGATGGGGAGATGGCCCACTAAATGGGATGGTTACATGTTCGGCCCGGGCCTTTAATGACCGCTCTTTACTTTGGACAGAAAGAGAGATAGAGAGAGAGAAAGAGGGGTGACTGGAGGCTAAATTTCATAAAAGTAAGATAAAAGTTAAACTTGGTGAAGTAAAACTTATGATTATGTTGATTAAAAATAAAATAATGATTAATAATAATAATTAAAATATCATAAAAGTCCTTTTAGATCAAAGTTAACCATGTTATAGAGTTTTTATTATTACTATTATTTGATTTATTACCTCATTTAATTGTAATTAAATTAAATTGTACTATTAACTGCATCATTACTACTACTATTAATATTAATAATGAAAAATATTACTTAATAAAAATGTCAAGGTATAGAGGTATGTTTAGATAATTAAAAAAGTAAAAAAAAAAAAAAATTTTTAAGTTCAAAATGGTTATTGATATACAGTGTGTCTATATATATATATATATATATATATATATATATATATAATTACTGTATTATTTTATGACTCGAGGCTACATTTCAAAAGGTAAGATAGTTAATCAATAACCATTTTGAACTTAAACGTTTTATTTATTTATTTTTTTACTTTTTTTAATTATCTAAACATACCTTTATATCTCGACATTTTTATTAAGCAATAATATTAATTATTAAAATGAATAGTTGTAGTGAATATTCCCATTATTATTATTATAATTATTAAAAAATAATATCATTACTAATATTATTTTTTAATAATAATAATAATAATAATAATAATAATAATAATAGGAAGTTTGTTCAGCTTCTGTTTTTTAAATATGCTTCATCAATAAAGTTGGACTTGAAGTGTTTTCTTTATATTATAATGTGCACACGCAACACCCGTTCATGCATTTGTTGATGTCTGGTATCTTCTCTGCCCCCCTCGGGTGGGATGAAACAGAGCGTCATGTGATTAAAGCAGCTGAAAGCTTGGGGTCAAAACACACACAGGTGGACAAGGAAAGAGGGATGATAGCAGCTGTGGCGGGATCCAGTGGAGTGTGGCATGTCGGAGATGGTCAGGAGATGCTGAGCTGATACAGAACCGGCTGTGGACCAGCGGGGTGCATGCTAATCAACCGCTTCAAATTAAACTGTCTGATAAGAGTTACAACATTACGTGTCCATTGACTGATAAAACACAGACTGTGTTGGTATATGCATACACAAAGTAAGCAGCCATTTGACTGATTTTTGCATAACTGAAATGGAGAAGTTTTGCCACTTTTTAGTGAAAGTTATAGCACGGAGTGCAAAGGAAATCTCGAATGAGTCAGACTTGAACTTCCTGCTCCCACCTACCAAACACCATTAGGCAGCCCGACGCCACATAACACAATCAAAACAATAAGCAGAGCACATCAGGACACCAAAAAAACAAAGAAAAATAGATCTGGGAATGGCCAGGTCGTAACTTGGCTGTCGGTGTGATGCCAGGCGTCATTAATAACCTCACTGTTATTGGAACTATACAGAAGGCTGTATCTCTGTTGTACCCGCTGTACCCCTTGGCACGAAGGGTGGATTTATTGTTGTTTGGGTCATGTTGAACAATGGGCTGTCTGTTGCTCTGTTTTTATCTCTGTGAGACTTATAAAAGAAGGACCCCATTTGTCTCATTGCTAGAAGGCAAGCATGACTGCTGTAGACTGGTAGTTTCCGATGGTATAAAGGTCTGTTGAGATGATGTGAGATAAAATATTCACAAAACTATCCAAATAGAGTTTACAATAAAAATGTAAAAACTGAACAAAAATGTAAATAAATAAACCCCACCAAAACGCTGCAGAATAATATTTCATACTTAGTTCAAAGGAGTTTAGTTTACTGCATTTGCACGCCAAAAAAATTGCTTGGCTTTAGTGGTGCAAAACCATGGGTCAGGCTTAAGCTGGTAAGCAAATTCCTATATTACTAGCCATTTGAAACTAGCAGTGTATTTAGATTTTTGTAAGCAATATATGAATCACAAGAATTACATTTCCATTTAAAAGTATGAGTTTGGTAAGGTTTTTAAAATTAATTTCAAAGATGTCTTTTTTTCATAAAAAATATGCTAAAAACAGCAATATTGTGAAATATTATCAAAATTTTAAGTAATTTTTTTATTTCTGTTATAATATATTTTTTAAAATGTCATTTATTCCAGTGATGGTAAAGCTGAATTTTCTGAAGTTATTACTCCAGTCTTCAGAGTCACATGATCCGTCAGAAATCATTCTAATTTGCTAATTTATTTTAATTTCTTATTAAAAATGGTATGTTGAAATATTATTATTTTTGTGGAAACTGTGATTTCAGGATTCTTTGAGGAATAGAAAGTTCAAAAGAATAGTGTTTATTTGAAATATAAATCTTTTGTAATATTATTAATGTCTTTACTGTCACTTACAATCCATTGAATGCATCCTTGCTGAATAAAAGTATACATTTTACTGAGCCCAAACTTTTCAACGGTAATGTGTGTAAAACGTCAGGTGGTTCCTGCGGTAGCCAAGCACCTGCCATTGCGATGAATAGGAACGTTAACAAGTAGTACTTCAAGTATTATTGTGCAAAATGTATTGACTTTTTCACTTGATGGGACATTACCTTCCATGTTGCGGTGTTTCTCCTGAAATAGGCAAACATTCGTGTAAACCAGTTATAGATCTCATTTAGAGTCAGCTGTCGGTCAGAGGTTTCCAGAATGGCCTGGTTGAATAAAGCCAAGAGAGAATGGAAGAGAGAAAGTGAGCAAGTGTCAAGAGGTGATCCAAATGGCTGTTATTAGTAAGACATTAGCTGATGGACTGTTTCCAGACGGGCAGGCAGTGCATTATGGATAGTGCCGCACACGTTTCAGCATGACTGACACTGAGCTAAAAGATGCGCATAAATCCTTAGTTACCAGCACACACCTCTGAACTCTGCTCAAGAGCACTGGAGCACAGAGCGCACAGTCCAGATCTGACTTACGTGTCGTATGAGGGAGGCGTAGGTGAATGGAGGCCTGACATCAGCGTTTTTGTAGAATTCACAATTCTGTGCAAGTTCTGTAACGGACAGACACAATTATTTCATATATATATTTCAGTGTTTTATAAAGTGATATGTAGAGTAAGATCAGCTTTTCTAGATTTTATGTGGGGGGACGCTAACCTGAAGCGATAGGGGTGCAGAACTTGTCGGAGTTGCGCCGACGGATATGCCCGACTCCGTGCAGGCTAGAGGAGCTGATGACGGAGGGTCCCTGCCTCATGGGGGTGATGGGAGTTGCGGCAGAGGTGGGGGGATGAGGCAAGCCCTCAGGAAACCCCTCACTTTCTCGTTTTGACAGCGACATGCTAGAGGCCAGGTTCAGCTAAACGGGAGGAAACAAAATTGAAAACTTATTTACAATAAAAACGACCAATCAAAATGAGTTCCCCAGTAGCGAATCATATCGCCATTCAAAAGGTTTACATTTTTTCAAAAGAAGATGCTCATGCTTATCAAGGCTGCATTTATTTGATATGATTGTGAAATATTATTGTTTAATTATTATTATTTAATATACATTTAAAGTTTATTTTTTTATTTTAATATATTTCAAAGTGTAATTTATTCCTGTGATGGTAAAGCTGAATTTCCTGCAGCCATTACTCCAGTCTTCAGTGTCACATGATCCTTAAGAAATTATTCCAATATGCTGATTTGCTGCTTAAAACATTTCTTATTATCATCAATGTTGGAAATACTTGTGCAGTTTAATATTTTTTTAGCAAACCATGATACATTTTTAGTATTCTTTGATGAACAGAGTTCAAAAGAGTAGCATTTATTTTATCTATTTGATCTTTTTTTAAATCATAAATGCCTTTACTGTCAATTTTCATCAAACTAATGCTTCTGTGCTGAATAAAAGTATCAATTTCTTAAAAAAAAAAAAAACTTTTGAAAGGTAATTCATACTAGTATATATTATATACTTAGTAAACTATAATTTAATGATACCAAATGAGACATATACTCTTAAAATTAAAGGTCCTAAAAGGGTGATTTTGCAGTGATGCCATAGAAGAACCATTTTTGGTTCCCCAAAGAACCTTTCAGTGAACAGTTCCTAAAAGAACCATTTTGAAGGACATTTTAGAAATCTAAAGAATCTTTTTTGACTATAAAGAACCTTTTCTGCATTTGAAAGGTTCCATGGATGTTTAAGGTTCTTTATAGAACCATCGATGCCAGTAAAGAACCTTTATTTTTAAGAGTGTACACAACATTGAAAATTCACTCCAAAAATCGAAATGTTTATTATCCAATTATAATAATGATGGAATTAGTTATAATAATAATATTATTAATTTATGTATTTATATTTTACAATAATTTCTAATGTATAAACAAATAATTTACTATAAATAATAACATTTATAATACATAATACTATTAATAATATTTGCAGTGTATTTGTAAGTGTCAAATTTCATAAGTTTATAAGCTTTTATAGATGTATTATTCACGTAAATATTGAAAAAAATGCATTAAAACTTGAAAAGTTATGTTTGGGAAGAAGAAACATTGTATTGGATTCGATATATAAAATGATTATTAATGTTGTTTACTTTTAAGTTGCTTGTTTTTTTTTTCTTTACATAAACATACATTTATACACATATACATAATACCAGAAATAGCACGAAACAATGACAGCGCAAAACACAAATGCCCTTCTCTCTCTATTTGGCACACGTTAAGTCTCAGCGCAGCCTCGATTCTAATTCGCATCATCTGCGTTGTGTACAGTAATCTCCTGCATTGCAATTACCAACCAGGAAATATAATCATCTTCAAATTGTCATTGGTCTCCCGCTGTGAGAAGCACATCCTGCGATCCTTGCCAGCACATTCATGCCAAAAGCAGTTGGCACAGTGACTCCATTATAAGATGATCCCGTTCACCCAGTGAAATTCAAACAAAGCACCCCACAAATCGCATTTCTCAGACACATGCGGGCACGGGCGCACAAACGAGGCTCCTCGGTGACACATTGTCTGCAATTAAAGCCACACAAGAGGAGCAAAACAAAGCGATACATGGTAGGAGGGGGTAAAACAACAATCTGGCAACAAACAACGCTTGCGGTTACAATGAGCAGGGCCTCATTGTGGCCCTGCTCTGCCCAATTAGCTTCGGTGGGCACAAAGCGCTAGGAAACAGCTTTCCCCATCGCTCAGGGAGTCTTTTTCGGGGTTGCTTGTTTTGTTCTAATTAAAACCATCATGTGCACGTGTGAGCAGCGAGCGAGGAGGGGCGGGTGTAGCGGGGGTTGACGCTAATATGGCGAATTAAACAGCGCCAGCCCTCTTTTCTCTCCATTCTCATTGCCACAGGAGCCAACCTGGCCCATCTCCAGTAATTACGGGAGCAAAATGGTTTAACAGGTACTTAATTAACGCTGGAGCTGTGCCAGTTTGCTGTGCCAAACACCCAACGATCTTAATAGCGGTCAATGCCACACACGGGTTTGAGCTTGTGCTAAGCTCCGCCCTAATGCTCACCCTTACCACTTAATGCTAATTATTTCTCTTGATCACACTCACAATTATGATTTTTTCATTCTCTCTCTCCCTCGTTCTCGTCTAGGTCGCTCGGCCCGGCCCGGTCACCATTTCCCATTACCGTCTAATGGTGGCTGATCCATGGAATTTGTCTCCAAACAGGAGACGCGGCCTACTTTCGCCCTCCGCCTTCATTTATATCCCCTCAAATGAAGACACTCCACTTCTAATTGACAATTAATTTCAACATCTTCGTATTTTAATAAGACTACTCATCAATCTCAGCATGAAATATTCATTAGATTCCTAATAATTGCACAGGCAGCTGGTGGCTTGAGGGGGAAACGCATTGTGATGGCTGCATGTGAAGCAGCGATGTGGAATATCTAGAAAGTCTAGCCCAAAACACTGTGGCATAAATACAAGCGTCTTTAAGTACAAAAACACTCTTCTAAAGTGGATTGGAGGAAAGCAGGCCAGCTGTAGCTGCTTCAAAGAGAACTCAATCTAAAAGAGTCCATCATCACATTTGAGTTGAAGGTGTTTAATGGCTTGCTTGCTTAGGCTTGTTTTTGTAAAGTGCAAGGATAAGTTGAACAGGTAAATGTATGAATCTGCATTGAGACTATAGAGTTTAGCTGCTCTCCAGGAACACGATCCAAGAAGACGTCAGATAAGAGCACAGCACTTCCGCCGTTCTCCAACAGAGAGCGCTCTGCCTCACACAACTGATTCATTGATCATACCGTGCCAGACAGTTACTTCACATGAAAAACATGAGACACACTATCAAAATACAAGTTATCAGAGGAAGTAAGAACGAGACAGAAGTTAAGAACTTACAGGTTGGTTGAAATGCTTTGGCTCTGACGGACGCATGTGCAGGTGGGCCATCATGGCCTGCAGACGCTCGCTCTCTTTGGCCAACTAGGGAACACACATATACACATATATTAGAAAAAAGCCGTTTTCTTATATAAACCGAATATGTAAAAGTGTTTACTTTTTTCCATGTTTCCAGTTTAAAGTGCACTGACAGCTACAAGAAGGTCATTTGTGGTTTGATTTTTCAAAAATGTAATACTCTGTGGTGCTACAGTATCAAAACATCCAACCAGCCTGAAACAGTAAAACACTTATTACTGATAAATATAATAAATAACAATATATATATTATACAGAAATGTTACTTTTGAATCATGTGTATGCAAAAAATTATATATATATATGTATATATATAATTTAAAAATTTAAAAATATTTTTTAATTTTCCTTAATTTATGTATATTATGTTGTACTATTTCTGTGCCACACTGTTTTCTCTGTACGCAGCTGCTAAAGCTTTGGCAGCATAAGTGCACAATTATTTGTCATGCCAATACAGCACATTGAAAACTAAGTGTCGTCATAGTGTGTGTAGCGCTCTTTTGGGCGCCGCGGAGAGGAGGAGGGAGGGACTCAGATATTCTCTTGTGAGGATAATTTTGCATTCTGCCTGTTAACGGAGTCAGCTCACAGGGATGTTGACATGCCGTTTCACAGCTCTTGATACCTCCGGGAGAAAACATCTCTCTCACCATCCTTCTCCCTCTTTCTCTCGATTGCTGCGGCTCTTTCAAAGACACTTGCCCTGTAACCACACTCGTCCTCGTTTGACATTCCTAACCGCCATTTAGAGGAAGTGTGGAGGCAGGCGGCCCCTCGTAATCAGGGGGCGACACACTGCCTCAGAACACTCTGCGACTGGCACCATACACTTCAGTGGCACCAAAAGTGCTAGAAAAACACTGTTGCATTTTACTGCTCAATATAGAGTGTACATTAAAATAAAAAAAATGCGGCAAATGTGGCATTTCTAGGATTGCCAAGGTATTATTGTATGGTTGCTGGCCATAGCTAGGTGATGCTAAGGTTTCTGGGTGGTCAAAATAAAAGCCCCACAATATGAAATCAATCTCAGGATGCGATTAGACTATTGTTGTGTTGTGCTGGTGCTCTGCGGCTATGCCTGGTATTGCTGAAGTCATCCACAGATCTGGGCTGTTTATTCACCCATTAGCTGATGTGTGTGTTTAATAAGCTCCATGCTGGTCAGCCTGGTAATAAAAACAGTCAAAAACTGAGCTGGTATGCTGGGAGAGACAGCAGGTTGGCCAAGGGTGGTTCTGGTCGGTCTGGGTTGGCATTGGGGCGGTGGGGGTAGAGTAGGTGACAGGACGGAGGTAGACGTAAGAGGAAATCCGCTTGGACGTGGACTGACTCTCTTGTCACTTCTCATCACCCTGCATCGATCTGGACACGTGTTTAAACGCGCTTTGCGGGACACAAAGTGAGCTCGCTGCCCGCGTGCCTGGCAGGGAAGTGTTTTTTGAAACACTTTGTTGTGAGGGGTTTATTTTGGGAATGAGACGAGACTGAGAACATGGAGGGGAGGTGGCGTGGAAAGAAAAGGGAAACTGACCAATTACCAGGTCTGTCTGACTGGCAGTCATGATGGGAAGTTGTTCTGCCACGTAAAGCTGGAGGGTCTGAAGTGCCCGTCTCAATGTAAGCCCGTCCACGAGACAGATTTTTTTTTAAGGGATGTTGATTTACAGCTCCAAAAGCAGAGAAATTCTACCACTGCAGGCGCAGTAAGGTTACATGTTACATTTTATTTAAGCGTGTTTGAAAAGGGCGAGCAGCTCCCCCAGAGCGAACAGTCTCTTTAATGCAACCTAATGTGACCGACCGATGTCCTGTCAGCGTCTGCCAATCCTAACTGTCACTAGACGTTCTTCTAACAGTCTCTGCGTCCAAACAAATTACTCACAAGGACAATAAAACATCATCCACCACTAAACATAGCACATAACATAGTCATAAATGATTTATGTTTACAATGAAATGCACCCTATATCACTTGTTTGTACATTCTCTTAGACAGAAAATTCCTCCAAATTCTTCCTAAATTTATAACAAAAATTGAAAATTAACGAAACATTGTGGACTTTTGCACACTCTCCAATTATAATCAACAAAGTCTACACTGCACAATAATAATTTATATACAGCATCTATGTTTTCTGTTTGTTTGTGTTTTGTTCTGATTATAATGGGACTGCGATTAAAAAAAGAAAAAGTAAAAGGTTAGGAACATTTTAAACGAATAAATCTAAAATTAAATCTAAATTCAATTGTATTATTATTATTGTTTCAAATGTATATTTGTTGATTATGACAAGTGATTTATTTTCACATTTTTCATTTATTTAAATATTAATTTAAATTTAAATCATTATTTTAAAAATGTAGTTAATATAACAATTGAATTTAATCATAAGAAGAAGAATTTACTTTTTTTAAGGGACAGTTAAATGCTAACTGAATGATAATTGATTGCCATGTTATTTTTAAGTAGCAGTTAATCGGGACAACCAAATAGTAATATCAGTTATTTTCAAATTAATAGTGCTGCCCTACTGAAAATAACAAAACCACTCTGATTAGAAAAATGACTGTAATTTGGCCAACATCAGGAGAGTGAAGCAGAGCACAGAGGGTGTCTGTGGTCAAAGGAAGTCTCTAGCACTTCCCATGTCCACCCTTCTCCTTATCAGCTCTCTCATTAGAGATGACACCGTGTATATGCGCGCGACAGGCAGCCCGTGGTGCTTGCCGAGAGTCCGCGGCATGAGGGATGAGAGAGGTGCTGGGAAACTCTCTAATTGGGATCCATCAAAGGCTGATATTCTGGCCTCCTCTCTCGCACCACACTCTACATCACTCTTCCTTTTACAAGCTCCAGTGATCTCTATCAACTCATGTGACATGTAATGGGCAGAAAATCATGCCAGCTAGGTGAGAGTTCTGGAAGACCAAGTCTCAGCATCAGTGCACCATATTGGTAAACACAAATTCAAGCCTTGATCCTCTAAAGTTGACAATTACTGTAACTGCAACATAATTACAAGGCCAAAACATATTTTGGATAAAGCATCTGGCAAATGCATAAATGTAAATGAAAACACAGGAAAAGAGATAGTCGGGCAGCTTGAATATTGCGTTTGCAAGATTTTTAGAGAAATGTTGATTTTGCATTTGTGCGCGCATCCCACCTGTATCTCCAGCTGTTGAACGACCTGCATCTGGACCCTGCACTGGGCCGTACTGCGATCATCCAGGGCGTGTTCACTGTTCAGGTGCCTGAGAGAGAGAGAGAGAAATGCAAACATGTGATGACATATCCTGATACACAGTCTACTAGATCAATCCGCGACCCTATCTAAACTCCCAGAGGGAGATCTGTAAGCATATTTGGACCATCTGCCACAAACCGTGTCGCTGACCTGCCTGATACAGTGCACACACACACTATACGGCTGTGTCTCAGCCTTTTGGGATTGTCTCAAAGTTTGTGCCACGTATGCTAAGATGTCAACACTACTGTACATACCCGGGCGTCATGTCCTGACGACACACACACTTAAACCCAAATACAGAGGTCACTGAGGCATCAGAGATCCAGTTGCGGCGTCAAACCATGACTTCACATAAACAAATAGCCACATCAAAATACGAGCACAGATAACAGTTTATTTTTCCATTTTGGAGAAGAAACATTTAATGGAATTCTCTTGGGATCACAATGGCCCTCTCAGAGGAAGCCCCTAACAATAGTAGATTTCCCCTCGAAAATACACTTTTCACTAGGCGTATTAACTCAATTTCCTCTCGCAAGAAAATAAAAACAATATTAGGACATGAAAGATGTGGAAAGAGAGTTTTCCGCTGGGGATTGTGTCATATGAGCGAATGTGACCATGCTGTTTGCTGAAAGTCAAAAAAACTAAAATAAGTTTTATTGTATTTACTGTCACTCATCGAAAGAAAAGAAAATAACTTTAGACATGAACGTCTCTCTATATTAGGTCTGAACGAGTGTCCTAATGTCTCTGTTATTCAGTTGAAATGCAGCTGGAGTGGGATATTATTTTGGAAACGGTTTTGTTTTTTTGTCAGAAAGTGCTGTAGGCCATGAACTGAGTGGGAGTTGAAAAAGGGAAGAAAAAAAAAAACCCCACCTGGATATGACTTCATTTGTTTTACTCATCAAGCGCTGCTTCAGATGGGTGAGCTCTGCCCATAGTTATTCAAGTCATGTTTTCTTTATGAAGCAATCCAAAACACAACAAAACAAACAGATGATGCAGGGCTGAGAACCAAATGAGAAAGCAAAAATCGAAACAAGAAAAGTAAGAGCTTAAAGTCATGGTGTCAGATTGTAAACCAAGATGAACTCTAGGGTCTGCGATCTTGGATCTTTCCTTCACGCCATCTGTCTCATCCTTCACTTTTTATTTACAACAAGTCAACCCCTGCACATATAAACCCAATTCTATAATCCAATAAACAGTCCTATATCCAAACGATGATGTCATGAAGCATTTGAGCGATGATGTCATTAGTGTGGCCCCTCCCACCTTCTAACAACACACCTGGTGAGGTTTAATGACTCAAAGGTCAGGGGTCACAAGAGCATATATTATAGAAGATAAGATATCCCTTTCTGGAAGCATTATAAAGCAAAATCTTCCTGAGGATTACTTTACATATTTGTCCCAGACTAAAAATATAATCTAGTGATGCACAATATATCAGTACCATACCGTTATATTCACATTTTTATTCAAAAGTTATCAGTATTGGCCAATATTATATATTTCATTTAATCTTTAAAAATATTACTAAATTAACATCCATTTTTGATAATGTACATTATAATGTTGCAAACATGCCTAAATTCAATAAATGTAGCTTTTAATGTTTCATTTTTAAATTCTATAGGCAAAATTTGAATATCAGCCAATTATCAGTTATTTGCCACACCATGAAAATAATTCTCAGTTGATTGTAATTTTAATACTGGTGCAGTTAATCTCATCCATTCTCATGAGGGAATTCCTGCATTTTTCAGCACCCTCCTCTCTGGCGTGGGCGGCCCATCGTGTTTAGTTCTCTTCACGATGGGAGAGCGGCAAACGGAAGTGAGTGTAAGTGGCAGAATTTTAACATTCGCAATACGCAATCATCCTCATGATCCCGGCCTGCTTTATCTCAGTGACACCCGGTGCATGACACGACCGTTTTGAATGTCCGACTGAAGGAAAAGAGGGGTGCGCATTCGCCCTCTCATGAGAAATTAAACAAAAACAATGATGTCACCCACTCGACTAATCCAGGTGCAGATAGACATTTTTTCCCTGCAAGCACATGATGATAATAACAAAAACATGATCTCATCTTACTCTCCCTCTGCCCCTCTACACCCCCAGTCTCTCTCTCTCTCTTTCTGAATAAAGGAACAGACCACAAGTTTTATGGCTCATAATAAACAGTAGCAGCGTTTTTCCGAGAGACCCGACAATGAGGCAGTGTTTACTCCCTGCACCCCGACCGGGATTTGAGGAGCATTTACAACGGTCACAGAAAAAAAGTCACAAGCCAGTCCCGACAAAGGGCCTGAGTATTCCAACACATTTCGCTCTGGCATGCCAGAGAAAACTGAACATCATTAAAGATCTCAGGATGAGAGTGTGTGAAATAGAACGAAAGAGAGAAAGACAGGATGAAGATTAAGAGCGAATGAGTGTTTTAGCATTCACACACTACTCTAGCTAGAGAGAAAGAGAACACAAGAGATTTCATCTGGGGAAAAAAAGTGTCCCTATTATGTCCAGATGGCAAGTGGCAAGACTTTTTCTCAGCATTTCTTGCACTGAATTCTGGGAAAAGGATTTAAAAAATATATAAAATGGCGTTAAACAGTGCTAAGCGTACTACACTCTCAGTGGTTCGTGTTGTATGTGTTTAACTGGAGTGCTTTTTAATAGTTTTTCTATGTAAACATTTGCTAGATTTTGCCTCTTTTTTCTGCGGCTTACGCATGAGTACCACAAGAAACAAAGTCAACTTATAACAAGATCAATTGTTGACATGCAGGCCAGCTCATCATGTTTCATTTCAAAACACTGGACCAATCAGAAGAAGCAGGGGGCGGGGTGAACATCACTAGTGTGTTATAGTAGCAACTGATAATTATTTTACCTCAAAATAAAAAGTGTCCCTATTATGTCCAGATGAAACTGGCAAGACTTTTTTTCAGCATTTCTTGCACTGAATTCTGGGAAAAGGATTTAAAAAATATATAAAATGGCGTTAAACAGTGCTAAGCGTACTACACTCTCAGTGGTTCGTGTTGTATGTGTTTAACTGGAGTGCTTTTTAATAGTTTTTCTATGTAAACATTTGCTAGATTTTGCCTCTTTTTTCTGCGGCTTACGCATGAGTACCACAAGAAACAAAGTCAACTTATAACAAGATCAATTGTTGACATGCAGGCCAGCTCATCATGTTTCATTTCAAAACACTGGACCAATCAGAAGAAGCAGGGGGCGGGGTGAACATCACTAGTGTGTTATAGTAGCAACTGATAATTATTTTACCTCAAAAGAGGTGCTTATATGGCCAGGACAACACTATTATATTATAATATAATATAATATATATAACAACATAACATAACATCATATAATATAATTAGGGATGTAACGATTAACTGCGAGCCGGTTGAAAATAGATTAAAATATGTGACGATTCAAATCGGTTGAGATGCTAAACAAACCGCGATTCATATAGGTGTAGGAGTTTATATGAATGCATGTCTGAGGGGAACTTACTGTCTTTAGAAAAGTTTAGATGGTATTTTTTCTTTTCATCTTGCCTCTGTATAATGCATATTAAAGTTCATAAGTGCAGCGCTGCTTTGTTTACAGCGGAAACCAGGAAACGCTTTAAGCGCCACCTGCTGGCAGAGAATGAATCTACGTCTCATTCAGCTCTGCTGTTTCACGCAGATATTTTTATTTATAGTTTCACAAAACTGAAGTCAAATCATTCTGCTTTTGCTTCAAATTTCGAAATTATACAATCTAATTTAGATTAAAAACTGCTCATGTTGCATGTATGCAGCATCTTTGTTTGGATTGTGATTAAAATGCAGTGGTTGCCTATGCTTTTGTCCAAAGCGATTTACAAATGAGGACAATATAAGTAATCAAAACCAACAAAAGGGCAGTAATATGCAAGTGCTATATTAGTATATTATTATAGTGTTATATTTCAATTTCACAAAGAAATGTGCAGCATTTTGTCCAAGCAATAATAAAAGGACACATTTAATTTATAATTAGTCCTAAATCTAATTTTGTAAAAATAAAATAAAAAAATAATCGTGAATCGAATCGTGAGTTGAGTGAATCGTTACATCCCTAATAATAATATAATATAATATAAAATATATAATATAATATATAACCTTCATATTGCATGAATGTCTTCTGTACCTTTGACTCCCTAAAGGAACAGTTCAAATTGATCAAAATTACCATGGTTGTTTAAAAACACCACATTCATCTTGAAAACCGGGGTATGACGGTCAAAAACATCCATCGAGTGCATGTTTACATAGACCAGCAATTAAAATAGCAGTGCAAAACAAAAAACATTCTGTGTGAATGTCCCCTTATTGGAAGTTGAAAGCATTTTTTAAATTACCCAAACTGAACATGTATGGGGCAAGGGATGTGTAGAGCTTTGTGAATGGTGGGCGTTCGTTCGGCGGGCACCGATTCCATGAGGGCCTCATTTCCTACTATAAGTGGCAGGCAGCCAGATGGGGCTATAGAATAGTCAAAAAGAACAGAAGGAGAGAGAGAGAGAGAGAGACTCCTCTCTTCCTGTCTTTAGCGATGACTAAAGTGTTCTGACTAGGCCACGGTGCACAGCATTGATGGCAATATCTGTCACTCCCTCCCTTCTTATCTTGTGTCCTCCCCCCCCTCTCTGCTTTCCCCGAGGCTATGTGAAATGAGACACCGCGCAACCAAACAACAGCTTTACTCTTAAAACTTTCCCAGACTCTCCGGCTCTTTGATGTGCGTGTCAGCGACCATCATACGCGCTTCCCGCTCCCGCCCGCGTGCACCGAACACGCTCTTCACCCCTGTCGCCAGGGACGACCAAAGGAAATTTACATACACATCTTTCCGGCCTGTCAATACAGCGGTCCCCTCGAGGAAGCACAGCTCTGGAGTCAAAAGACGATGTGAGGGCCTAGTATCTCGTCAAAGGAAATAAACACGCAGGGAAGTGACCACCACTCATTAACGGACAAGAACACCCGGCTACTGTAACAGACGAAGTTGACCTGCCGGATATCAAAGGAGGTGTTTGAGGGAGAGAAAATAAACAGCAGCGAGAACATGCGTTGCGAGCCTCGAGTCCACTGGGGCAACGGCAGCGGCAACAGTCTGGCTCGCACCACTGTGACAGGCGGACATGTCAGGACTTTCCACTGTGAAGTCTCATTATTTTAACACACAGAGACAATGGGACTGTTTACATCGCCTTCCCTGTCTGATCTCTTCCTCTCTTTATCTCCTCTCATCCCCCCAGCATCCCTAAAGACCCCAAACTGGCAAACACAGGCGCAAAGAAAAAGAGATGGCGAGAAGAAAGAAGATTGGGAAAAGGGAGATAGAGGAGGGGAGGGGAGGGAGCCTCTTTTTGATGTCTTTACTCTTTTCCAAGAAACAAAAGCTTCTAATTGTAAATGAGCTAATTAAGTAAACCACTAACGAAGCGTGAAAACAATTTGCTTGACCCAGCAGTGGAGAGCTCAGGGATGGAGAGGCGGAATTATGGGAGCGGGGAGCTAATCGGCCTCTGACAGCATTGAAGAGTTGTGGGCAGCTACCTGATCAGACACACACACACACACACACTCTTTTCCTCTACTCCACTGGACGGGTCAACAGGAAGGGAACAGAACATCTGTCTCTATGGTTACAAGTGGTGCATGTGTGAACTAGCTTCCTGTGCAAAAGTATTAAGCTGAACCTTTGGGAAAAAGTTTTGTGAAAACCATACAGTTCATTTCTGGAAATTTGCACACTGTCACCATCTGAATTCAGAAATTAACAGACCCAAAAGGAATCAAAGTTAGTGTACCTTTTGTTTAACTTTAGTCTATCAACACTTTAGTGTAAAAAAGTTTAATTAATATGTAAAATTAGTATTAATAGTATTAGTATACAAAAAAAGGTCTACAATACACACTCACATTAGAGATAACTTTTTCTAGGCTAAAAATGTTGTGCACCTGGAATCTATTAATAAAGAAACAGTAGTATAAAATGATTTTAAACATTTAGCCGTATACTGTACACTAACATTGACTAACATTTAGCTTGTTTAAAAAATGTGTTTATGCTCACACCAAGGTATTTATTTGATCAAAAATAAAGTAAAAACAGTAATATTGTGAAATTAGCATTACTCCAGTCTTTAGTGTCACACGATCCTTCAGAAATCTGAATGTGCACATCTGGTGCTCAAGAAACACCTCTTATTATTAATAATAATATTCTTTATATTTTAGTGTGAACCATTTTATATCAGAATCAGAAAGAGCTTTATTGCCAAGTATGTTTGCACATAAAAGGAATTTGTTATAGTGTCACAAGCTTCCAGTACACTGAGACAACAACAACACACAGATAATAAAAATGAGATGTGAATAAAATACACATGCATAAATATAAACCACAAAAAAAGAATAAATTGTATGTACAGGTGTGCTATAGATGGAATAGGAATAGAATAAAATAAAATAAGTTGTAGGGATGTACTAGGGTTTAGGGTGATAAATAATTATAAGGTTATTGCACATACTGTAGCAGCTCAACAGAGTGCACTCTAGTTTACTCTGATTGTGTTCTATGACTGTGAAATACCTGTCTATCAAGCGTTAGCTCTCTTTTTTCATACACGAGTACAGTCCCACAGCACTGGTGAATGTCTCACGCTCTCTCCAGCAATAACCTTGCACCCCCCACCTCTCTGTGGAATTCATTCGTCTCTGGTCTGTTCAAACATCACACCTGAACACAGCTGTCAGTCGCCCGGCTTTCTTATTGCCTGTCCTCTCATCCCCACATTTACTTCAGAGCAAGAGGCCTTTAGTTTACAAGTGATCTGCAAGCTCATCGAAAAAAGGATGAATGCACACTGACAGAGGGAAATGCTAACAGCCACAGACTTGTTTTGCGGGACACAGCAGGTAATGATGAATGCTCTGCTGCCCAGTGGGGGGTTTTACATGAGTTACGAGGTTTGACATGAATGTAGCACATTACATGCTTGTGAAGTAGAATTTGATGGACAGCTGTCACTCACTTGATGAACTGGCCCATGTCCTCGCACAGCGCTTCGCAGCCAGGCCACTTGCATTCGCCGTGTCCATAGAGCGGGTGAGAGGCCGTGTGTTCCTCATGAGTCGAGCTGAAAGAGACAAAAAAGATTTGATTAGTCAAACTATAAATTATGTCACACTGAACTTTGACTCCAGTCTTCAGAGTCACATGATCCTTCAGAAATCATTTTAATAGCTGATTTGTTGCTCAAAAAATTTCTTATTATCAATGTTGAAAACAGTTGCGCTGCTCAATACTTTTGTGGAAACTGTTAAATATCTTTTTTCTTTAAAATAATTTAAATGCCTGCTTTCTTAATCAAAACAACCCATTGGGGTCAATATAATTTTTTTTCAGGCAGTCGGCATGGTAGCCTCACACATGCAACCAATACAAAGCAATGAAGCAATGGAAACAGTCTCGAACATTCCCTGTCTGGGAAAGCCGATATAGCTTTGAGCCAGTCCTTCAGGAAGCTTCGAACAAATCTAGCTCAACTGGATCTGGTAAATGTAAAAAATTACAGCTTTTCCATAATTGTGACTGACAGGCTTCCAATAGTAAGCGCGTATCATTGTATTAGCATCTTGTACTACGACGCAGGTTCGAATGTCCTTAGATGCAGCCAGGAACAACAAGCCGCCATCTAATTACGAATGAACGTGGATGATATTCAGATATTTCTCGTAACGGCGGGAGCACGGATAAGGTGGCTGCTGATGTGCTGACAGGGCCTACTGGTGGGGCCTGGGGATAAATGCTACGGTCTTGTTTCGTTTGAGATACAGCCACTGTGTGCTCTGTGGCTGAGAAGTCTGGTTCGGGTCTCTCTGGCCCCGGCTTCTGTAGAGACCCATAACGGATCAGCCTCGAACCCCCGCCAGCAGTCTCATCCAGCAATTTTTCATTTTGGGCCTGGCCAACCGCCACGGGCTAGCATGTAGCTTGGTTTTTTTTGTGAGGGCAGGGACCACAGAATCCTTCGTCATGTGTCTGACTGCTGCTAAGCATGGGCAGGGGGATAAAGGGGGGGGAGCGCGGCTTGTGGTGGTTGAAGGCCTGGGGAACTCTTCCCAATTCCACATCAGAGTACTGCTTAATATAAAGCAGCTTGCTAGCAGATGAGGCCCTCCTGATGTGGCGCACACACACGCTCCCTCCTCCTCTTCATCAGATGTGCTGGCAGTGGATGGCCCACGCAATTCAGAAGCTGCTCGAGCGCTAGACATTACAAACTACTGGCAACCACACTGTCCACATGTGCCATGCATTAGCCTCACCACACAGTTTTTCTTTCCTTTTGAGTTGCGTGTCTGTGTGTGTTTGTGTGTAAATGTGTTAGGCCAAGTCAGGGAGAACAGTGTTAGAAGAAAACATGATGGAAGGCGCGCTTTTCTTTCTGTTTAGCCATGTCCATGTAGCATGACAGGGTGGGGTGTGTGTTAGTGCTGCTGGTGTGTGTGGGTTTATTTAGCTGTAGTTTGGAGGCCCCACCAGTGGAAAAATGGCCATATTACACAAAAGATCCACAGAACTGCTATAAACGTCACACTGCAGCACAATTTAAGTGAACTGCAAAAGTTAATTAAAAACTTGATTAAAAACAGAAATGTTGATAAAAAACCTTTTGCTGTTTGGAGTTTTTATTTATATATTTATGCAATCTATTCATAAATTAGCTAATAAATATTACATTTTACTTTATGCTTTATTACATTTATATTTAATTTAATTTGACATTTTACTTAATTACACACACACATACATACACACACACACACACACACATACATATATATATATATATATATATATATATATATAAAGGGGGGCTGGCCCTGTGAAGGTTTGATAAATTACTTTTATATAACAATAACAACAATAGCAGTCTAAGGTATGTCCTCATTTAGATGGATAGGTAACCTTGTGTATATTTACATAAGTGTGTTTGTTACTCACTGGGTGCTCTGCAGGAGAGCGCCTTTGGAATAAGGCATGAGATGCTCATCACTGGACTCCTTGGTGAAGGAGGAGATCCACTCAAAGAGTCTTGCTCTTAAGAATGGAAAGAAGGCTTGAGTACCCAGTAGGACCACTTCTCTCTCTTTCTCTCTCAAACACACACACACCTGCTCATCTCTCAATTAAATTATCACAGTACACCTTCACCCACTCCACACACACACTCATGCTGAACTGGCACAGGGGCGTCAGTCATGCTGAGGGCATGCCATGTTCTGAGGAACTCACACGAGCACCAAATATCAAATGAACCCAGGCATTTTACATCAGCTCATCAAACGGCAACTGACGACAGAAACCTTGAAATATGACATGCGTGACAAAAATATATCTTTATGAAATCTGTCATGTAGCAGTTATTACATTAACATTAAAATACATTAGCATATCTATAGCACTTTTTTGTTTGCTTATTTTCAATATACTGTTAGTTGTTACTTATTAGCTGTTTGTAGTTGCAACCCATGCACAGATTTTAGTATCTGCCTGCTGCAGATGATTTGATTAAATAAATATACATATAATACATAACACACACACATTTTTTTGTCCCCCTTCATATTCTTGACTTATGTCGTTGACTTTTAAAAAAAAATTTATCAGGTGGACTACAAAGTATGCTTGTGCATTTTCCACTGACCTGTCTCTCTTTGGAGTGTGCACAGAGTTCTGTCCATTTGGCAAAGTATGATGGGGGATCTGAGGTGAGACCTTGGAGGCCGAGTATGAGGTAGTGTTGGAGCTGTTGGTGGTCAGATCGAGGCCCTCATGTTTCATGACCTCCTCTGTGCTCTGAACACCGGCCACGTCCTTCCACAACTGCTGCAGGTCAGTGGGGCACATGGCTGAGATGGGCAGAAAGCAAGCAAAAGATTACTACAAACTATAAATCATTATTAATTACCATAAACCATAATGTCCTTAGACAGAAAAGAAAAAGTTACCACCTTTAGCAAACTATAAGTGCTATAATCCATCAACTCTATTGAAACACAAACACAAAAAGGTCCTTTAAAAGCCCTGGGTCAACAACAGGTACCATATGTTTTTCAGCATGCTTATTAGTTTTTCTCTTCTTTGTTGTGCTGAAGACTATAAGCCCAGTGTTGAATGACGAGAGCTCCTTCGGAAAGCATCCAAACCTGCATCTCTCTCTATCACACCTCCAAAGCCCCCCCTCCACCTCACCACATCTTGAACAGTGGCCAGCTGGCAGCGCATCTCACCCCAGAGATCTCAAAGCCTGTCAATGCGCTGACATTAGTGGGGCAAGCCATAAAACACCAGGCACACACCTCGCCACACTTTACTACAGGAGGGGGGCATGCCAGCAGGATTTGTTAAGTTCACAGAACAGCAGAAGGAGGGACCCATCCAAATCGGAGGAAGCAAATGGCTAATTTCAGCGTGTTTCTGTTATCTTTCAACATCTCTGCGAATCCCCCTGGATACCTCCATTTGTAATTATCACCGTCCCGACCGGCACTGCAACTCACTGGGTGAATTAATCTTGGCGAGCTGCTCTCTTGGCATTTTTTTTGTTTTATTCTCCCCTCAGACTTGCTGAATTCGGGATTGTATTTTGTCTCTTGGAAAGGTAGAGGGGGTCTAAGTTGGGAGGGATTTGAGCGTGTAAAAAAAGTGGAGAAGAAGGGGGGCCGCCCAAGCTCGTCTGGTGCACACTGTTCCCGAAAAGCCACAGCCTGCTACGCTATCTCATATGGCAAAGACTTAATAGCAATCTAAATATTATGTCTGGTCCGCCAGCATTCTTGTCCCGGACCCCGCCAAAACAAAACTCCTCGCCTGGCCTGGCTCTCTTCATCTCCCCACCTCCCTCTCTTCCCAGCAGGCCTGGGGCCAGGGAAATGATGTATGGCCACACTTGCAGCTACAGGCTGTTGTTCACTAGTGACAGACAACCTGACAGAGCACCAAAGGGCCATGGATGTATTTTAACCCTGCAAATAACCGAGCCAGCTCGGTGGCGTGGCACTGTTGCCTTAGATGGGGGAAGGGAGGTGATTTCTGCAAGTTTCTACTTTTGTGAAAAAGCAGCCAGAACATAGGAAGTGGAAGGGAGGACGCAGGGTGGAGATGGAGCGGTTTACCTACAGTGAAGTGTTTTTGTATCTAATTTTCTTCCAAACACACACAACACAGTTGCACACACACACAGGGGCAGGTGAGGCGTTTCCCACTGTGGTTGGCCACACACTCTCTATTTCTCACACACACATTTAATAGAAAACCAACCTCAGCTTTCCACACAAGTGTGTGCTCCTGAAATGGTTTAATATTTAACATTTAATAGTTGGTTTATTGAAGCTGCTGTGTATCATGACGTTAAAACTTTACTTAATGTGCAGAGACTACGAGTAAACCATTCTAAGGTCGATTTCTCTGACATGTATAAACACTGTGGTGTTTTCAAAACATCACTATTAGTCTTAGCAGCCTGGCATAGCAACACGGTCTCAACCAATAGTGTGAGTTTGAGGTGGGGCTAACAGTTTTCGACCAATGGCAGACAAGGGTTAGGAAAACCTGCTTGGAAACAGACATTATTTTTGAAATTCTTCTTGATGCAGAATAACTCATCTTCAAATTTAAAGGAGAACTGTGTAATCTCCGCAGAACTTAAATTATATGCACTACTGTTCAAAGTGAGGTCAGTAAGACAGCATTTATCTATTTCAGGGGTCGGCAACCCGTGGCTTCCGAGCCGTATGCGGCTCTTTCATCCCTCTGCGGTGGCTCTCTGTAGCATGGGTGTACAATACGTGGGGGAGGTGTCCCCCTGACTTTTAATAAAACCTAAACTCTTCCCATGCACTTTTTTTTCTCGGGCTAGTGTGTTCACATAGAGGTTTTCAAGGGCCAATGTTAATAAATCTAGATTTAAATTAAAAGAGACAAGATAGTCATGTCGTTTTGGATACGTTTTATTTGTATCCAAAACGATGTGAACATCACGGAGCGCTGAACACTCTCATGCGCTGTATGTTTCATTCATACTCGAAGCCGGAGGGCGCTCTCATGCAGAAAGTCCAAAACGGACTCATATGATAGAAGTAATAATAACTTTTGACATGCCAGGAAATCCCTAACATGGACAAAGGCATCCCGCTATTGCTGTATCTAAGTTGAATAACAAGCATAAACCTTAACTGATGAAACGTGAAGACAATAAATGCTTGCGACAATATATGGTTTCTGTTTGTTTTTCAAGTCTTCTCCAGGTGTATGAATGTTAAGGTGCAAACTGACATAGCATTTATTACAGTGCAGAAGCTATAAAATATATTTTCTGCCTTATTCTTTGATAAAAATGGAAAAATGTTTGTAGTATATAAACTATTATACTGATTATACAATCATAACTATAAAATTGTCATTAGTAATATATATCAAAAATATTATAGAAGACAAATTATTGGTTATTGTCCAGGAGTGTATTTTATTTCTTAGCCACTTTTTGTCAATTAGACATACATAAATAAATATTCTAATTATTATTATTACTACATTTGACATTTCTGCCCCCCTCACTTACGAAATGATTGCTACTCCCCTGCCCTGTAACATAACTGAATACTGAACTTTAGCTATATGCCGTGCTATCTTTATTTGGGGATCAACTATTTTGTTGCTCCACTGAATTTTATACAGTGGGAAAGGGGCCAAAATGGCTCTTTTGCAGACCCCTGATCTATTTTAAAATACAGTAAAAACAGTAATATTGTGAAATGTTATGACAAGCTAAAATAACTGTTTTCTATTTTTATATATTTTATAGGTAGTTTATTCCTTATGACAGCAAAGCTAAATTTTCAAAATATGCTGATTTGGTGCTTAAGATACATTTCTTTTCAGGATTCTTTGATGAAAGTTTAAAAGAACTGTATTTATTTGAAACGGAAATGTTTTGTTAATTGCCATTTTGTCTTTTTTTTATTATTATTTAATGCATCATTCTGGATACATTTTATTATTGTTATTTTTTTAATCTTACGGACCCCAACCTTTTGAATAGTAGTATATATAAAATATAAGCATGTATGCCACTCTTTCACTACAGATCAGACTACATTACACTTTCTGATTATCATCTACATTTGATTAATATAGATGGCCGATGAGGCTGCTCACAAGACAACATTACAAATTCCCCTTTGGTTTCTGATGTCTGCTCCCCCTTCTAACTACATGCATCACAAATCCTGAAAAAAACTGAAGAAAAGTTTGGCACGGTGATCACAAAGTTTTAAGCCAAGTCCGACAGATCTGGTTGCGCCCTTTGGACAGAAATTAAAATGACTTACTGTAACTGTTAAGTGAATCTTACAAAGAAACAAAAGTCATCCCGACTAGCAGTCTGTCTAATGCTTGGGTTCGAAACTCTAGCCTTTCTGCGGGAATGACTGGGCATGCCAAACAAACATGAAAACAACAACAACAGCGGTTGGCGCCACAAATGGATCAGAGAACAAATCCTTTTCAGCAGCAGCTACAGCTACAGCCAAGCATGACTAGCCAGAAGAATGTGCATGGTTGGCTGGTCAGTCATAATGGAGGACTTCTTTTCAGAGAGGGATTGCGGGGAAATTCCGTGATTCTACTCTGTCGCAGGATTTGTTGAAGGGATTCCAAGAGCCCAGAGTTTATTGTCCTTCAGACCCCTTGAAACAATGCAATAAGCAATGGGGGTGGGTGTGAGGGTCTACGCCAGAAAGATGCCTAAGCCAAAAGTTTACAGCTGTCGTGAAAAATTATTTTCATCAATCTGTGAACCTTCCTCTGCCTTGCTCCTTGCTCTCCCTCTCTTTTTTCCCAAAAGACTACTTTTCTAAAAGCAGCCGTGTGCATGTGTGTGTGTGGCAGGCCCATTCAGGATTTCGGATGATGAGTCTATGTTTTCTTAAGACTGAAATAATCAGAGATGTCAAGAGCAATGGGTGAAAATGAGAGTATTAGACATACATAAATAAATATTCTAATTATTATTATTACTACATTTGACATTTCTGCCCCCCTCACTTACGAAATGATTGCTACTCCCCTGCCCTGTAACATAACTGAATACTGAACTTTAGCTATATGCCGTGCTATCTTTATTTGGGGATCAACTATTTTGTTGCTCCACTGAATTTTATACAGTGGGAAAGGGGCCAAAATGGCTCTTTTGCAGACCCCTGATCTATTTTAAAATACAGTAAAAACAGTAATATTGTGAAATGTTATGACAAGCTAAAATAACTGTTTTCTATTTTTATATATTTTATAGGTAGTTTATTCCTTATGACAGCAAAGCTAAATTTTCAAAATATGCTGATTTGGTGCTTAAGATACATTTCTTTTCAGGATTCTTTGATGAAAGTTTAAAAGAACTGTATTTATTTGAAACGGAAATGTTTTGTTAATTGCCATTTTGTCTTTTTTTTATTATTATTTAATGCATCATTCTGGATACATTTTATTATTGTTATTTTTTTAATCTTACGGACCCCAACCTTTTGAATAGTAGTATATATAAAATATAAGCATGTATGCCACTCTTTCACTACAGATCAGACTACATTACACTTTCTGATTATCATCTACATTTGATTAATATAGATGGCCGATGAGGCTGCTCACAAGACAACATTACAAATTCCCCTTTGGTTTCTGATGTCTGCTCCCCCTTCTAACTACATGCATCACAAATCCTGAAAAAAACTGAAGAAAAGTTTGGCACGGTGATCACAAAGTTTTAAGCCAAGTCCGACAGATCTGGTTGCGCCCTTTGGACAGAAATTAAAATGACTTACTGTAACTGTTAAGTGAATCTTACAAAGAAACAAAAGTCATCCCGACTAGCAGTCTGTCTAATGCTTGGGTTCGAAACTCTAGCCTTTCTGCGGGAATGACTGGGCATGCCAAACAAACATGAAAACAACAACAACAGCGGTTGGCGCCACAAATGGATCAGAGAACAAATCCTTTTCAGCAGCAGCTACAGCTACAGCCAAGCATGACTAGCCAGAAGAATGTGCATGGTTGGCTGGTCAGTCATAATGGAGGACTTCTTTTCAGAGAGGGATTGTGGGGAAATTCCGTGATTCTACTCTGTCGCAGGATTTGTTGAAGGGATTCCAAGAGCCCAGAGTTTATTGTCCTTCAGACCCCTTGAAACAATGCAATAAGCAATGGGGGTGGGTGTGAGGGTCTACGCCAGAAAGATGCCCAAGCCAAAAGTTTACAGCTGTCGTGAAAAATTATTTTCATCAATCTGTGAACCTTCCTCTGCCTTGCTCCTTGCTCTCCCTCTCTTTTTTTCCCAAAAGACTACTTTTCTAAAAGCAGCCGTGTGCATGTGTGTGTGTGGCAGGCCCATTCAGGATTTCGGATGATGAGCCTATGTTTTCTTAAGACTGAAATAATCAGAGATGTCAAGAGCAATGGGTGAAAATGAGAGTCAAGAACTCTAATAAAAGACTGGAATCATTTTGGAGGCCCTATCGGCAAGAGTGGCAGGGATTTCGGCATGGAAACTGGAATCGGTTCCCTGTTTGTTCTGTCCTGTTGAGGCTCTTGCAATGTTACGACCGCTGTGGAACCTGTAAAAGTTGATGTGTCTAATTTTGGCGAATGGTGGCCAGTTTGCAGTCAGGATCCATTACTGGTAGGGTCCCTTTGACAAAACAAGGAAAAATTTAAAAATACATAAAAAAAATGATCCAAAACCTCCATTTCCTTCTGTAGGATAAGTGAGTCTGGAGCGTGTAAAACTCATGGGCGTACACACACATAAGCCCCCTCCCTGCCTCTGCACAAAGCCCGGTGAATTTTGTGGCATATTTTACCTATTATCCAAATGACTGCCTTCCACAAAACCAACAATCAAGCTTTGCTTTTATCTCTTTATGAGCTGATTAAGTTAACAAGCTTCACATGTGGCTCTATGGACATGGCTGTAGTTAGTCTCCAGGGGGCTTCATCCCGCTCTAATAGATTGAGATGATAGCTCATTGCCAAATTTTGGAGGAAGACGAATAAGGGATTCATTTTAGAGCCAGCTTTATTAGCATTCAACATTGTGCGTATAGTAGTGGGGCAATCTGAGATTGTGTGCATGTGTGTGTGGTTGGGGCTGACTAAGGAAGAATAAGTGGGCGGCGGACGAAGGTCTGGCCTCAGCCTGAGACAGCCATCTGGTCCTGGGCTACGTGTATGAACACAGATGCTGCATTTATTTAGCACGCTGCATTTCCTCCAGAGCTCCACTTTCCATTAATAGGCATCACTAAAGAAGCGAAACAGACACTCTGTGGTGTTTTTCTGGCTGTTGAGAACAAGAGAAGAGCTGTGAAAGAGACAGACCACCAGGTTGAGAGGCCTGTGATTGTAGCACCTCAACCTGGGGCTAGATGGAGTCAGATGTTTGTGGTTAATATTGACGAGCTAATGGAGCTGGGGAAGAGTTTTTCACCTTTAAAGATATACATTAATTCAAGTAAGTATCTGCAATAAAAATGTCTGACAAAAATATCAAATTAATTAAAATCCCCTTACTTTCACAGTAAATACTACAATAGATGAATGACTTGAATAGTTTGACATTCTGCAATTTTGGTACGTTACTTTGACTTGTTTCTTCTTTCATTCAACTAAGGTGTAAAATAGACATTCACCAATTCTTAAGTTATTAATTAGTCGTTGACTTGTTTTTTAGTTGGAATGTTCAAAATTTCAAAATAAATAAATAAAATACTTGTTTTCATCTAAAATATAAGAGTATTTTGTCTAATTAAACAAGTATGTTCCCACTTGATTACATTATAAACAAGATAAACAAAAATCTGCCAGTGCAGTAATACAAAATACATCTCATGAACAAATCTTATTATTTTATGCAGTGTTGATAGCTAAAACCTTTAAAAACATATAAAAATATATATATAAAAAAGAAATGAGTTTAAACACAAGCACTTCAATTAATAACTGGAAATCAATCAAATCTAAAAATGAACTAAATCTGGAAGAAAAATAAAAAAGTTAAATAGCCTAAACAGTCATATTAAGAAAACTAACATAAATGACAAAAGCAGACAAAAAAATTAAAATGAAAACTGAAAATATAAAAATAAAGCTAATATAAAATATTAATTAAAAGTATGGTAGTATAGCAGTGTTAATTTCGTTGATGAATAATTTGTCAATTTTCGTCAACAACATTTTTTCACTGACGACAACAAGATGATAACGAACTATAACTATTTTTGAATGACAAAAACTAGGATGAAAATCTACTGACATTTTCGTCAACGAATAAAAACGAGACGAAAATGTTAGGGAGGGACAATTTGGGAAGATATTCCTTCAGAACGAATCTGCTGCATAGTTACGAGGTTAGATGCGTACATACAAACCGGCGGGACATAAGCTAAAATACATTTGCTGCACATCTCATAAAACGTTCAAAAATTTCAATATGTGGGAGTAAGAGATGAGCAGACATATGGATAAATCTGACGACGCAAGAGAGAACTCGTTTCAGTCCGGTTTTCTGAGCGCAGACACTGAAGCATACACACACAGAAAGCGCGTCTCACAGCACACAAGTACTCTCTTGTTTCACATGAACAGAGAATTACACTCAAAATTATGTCAAATTGTCAGTTTTGACGAGTATTCACGTAAACTCAGATGATTACATCTTAAGTCAACGTAAACAGTTGGGAGAATGTGTATTAATACATTGCATCCTTTGCAGCTGTGCATTCGGTTTTAAAGGGATAGCAGCCTAACTGCTATTGTCCGAGTCATTGATGTTAATCTAGCAACAAAAGAAAGACAGAAAAACACTCACTGCTCTTGACTGAAAAACTTTAATAGCCCTAAAGATTAATCTGAATTTATATAACAAAATTATGTAAAATTGTCAGTTTTGACGAGTATTCACGTAAACTCAGATGATTACATCTTAAGTCAACGTAAACAGTAGGGAGAATGTGTATTAATACATTGCATCCTTTGCAGCTGTGCATTCGGTTTTAAAGGGATAGCAGCCTAACTGCTATTGTCCGAGTCATTGATGTTAATCTAGCAACAAAAGAAAGACAGAAAAACACTCACTGCTCTTGACTGAAAAACTTTAATAGCCCTAAAGATTAATCTGAATTTATATATAGAAATAAATATGTCTGCTTGAAAGAATGAAGAATATGGTAAACAAGTTGCTATAAAGAATGCATAATTAGCCTATATAACCATTGGTATTTCATTAATAAGAAGACCATGTTCCTGTTCTTTATGAGAAGTGGTTTTATTTAATTTTAACAAAGGCATGTTCTGTGTCACCGCAGTTAAATCTGTGTCTATCATGATAAAACCTTAATATCAAACCTATATAATGAGTTCGGAAATTTTTGAGAAATGCATAATAAATGCATTACACTGTAACTAAACCCATTAGATTTTAGTCGACTAAATTTACTGTAAATTTAGTCGACCAAAATCTTATGATATTTAGTCAACTAAAACTAGACTAAAACTAAAAACAATTCAGATGAATAAAATGTGACTAAAACTAAATGGCATTTTAATGAAAAGACTATGACTAAAACTAAATAAAATGTCAAAATTAACACTGTAGTATAGAAATAATACTATAATATCATAGGGCAGCATCTGTAGCCTTACAGACGTCTACTGAAACTCAATCTCAGCAGATGCAGTATATCATCCACATACTGCATCACAAAGAGTATTTGGATCATCTTACTCATTTGCAGGAAAACTGAATACTGTGTGTGATTGCATTGTTATGTGTACCTTGCTGCAGGCTCTGAATGGGTACTGCTCCTTGGCCCGGCTGTAGGTTCACCAGGCCCTGTCTTTGTAGATTTAGAATGTGTTGCTGCTGTAGTTGTTGCATCTGGATCAGCTGCTGCTGGAAAGCCAGCTGTTTATTCCCCAACTGCTGCTGCTGAGAACAAGAGAGAGAGAGAGAGAGAGAGAAGCATGTTACACAACAAAACAAATGGATGGGAAAAGTGAGAGGAAAAAACTTGGAGAGCTTCAGGATGGAGAGGGCGGGAAAGACGAGACATTCATTGGCTTTTATAAGCCTTCAACCTCGTCCAGGACATGTTTAGATAGGACACATCCTGGAATAGAGATATTTTCCCCTCCAATCACCAAAGCACTTCCTGTGGAGGTAGACAACAAGCAGACAACAAAACGCTGAGACTAGGTTCAAAGTGTCGAAGTGCATTGTGAAGCCTCATGCATTAGGAGATAACGCATTAATCTGGGAGTGACAGTACCATGTGGACTAGGACCGATACCAAAGACAAGCTCTCAAACACGCTCGTTCATTCCTGCATGTAGCAATCTGTTAGCATGCGGTTGGCGCGCAATTAACATGGCAATAAACAGTGACTAACAACATCTGTGCACAATGTTAAGAACTGTTCCAGATTATATGACATCAGATGTTTATCATTTTACGATAAGGCTTGGTATTTTTCACTATGCATGAAATGTGCTTTGTGAAACCTGAGAAGCATGACTCCAAACCCCTTTTTCAGTGTTTCATAAACAGGTCTCAGTGTGTGTGGATAGTCATCATTCACCTATTAAGAGATTTATTTTTGTTCCAGCCGACTTCTGGTGACGTTTAACAAAAGAGATGAAAAATTAGCAAACCGTTTTATCAGCTATGACATAAGCACAGTGTATTCCAAGACTAGCCCTAAACTTGTATAAAAACATGACATGAGTGAGAAAAACCCCTCAGATCTTCCGCCAGAGGTGGGAAGGAACATAAAAGAGGGCCAAGGTGGAAAAAAAAAAAAAGATAAATTTAAAGGTGATGCATATAATTTTTGATGTTTAAAGTGACATTGCATGGCAACATTGACTCAACCAATGACATTTTGGGAGGTGGGGCTGGGGCGACACTACCGTTCAAAAGTTTGGGGATAGTACGATTTTTTTAGTTTTTGAAAGAAACGCTTTACATTTCTCAAAAGTGACGGACATTTACAAAAGATTTCTATTTTACATAAACACTGTTGTTTTGAACTTTCTATTTAACAGCAAATACTGAGAAAAATTTCTCAAGTTTCCACAAAAATATATTAAGCAGCACAACTGTTTTCAACATGAATTATAGTAAGAAACGTTTATTGATCACCAAATCAGTATATTATAATGATTTCTGAAGGATCATGTGACACTGAGGACTGGAGTAATGGCTGCTGAAAATTCAGCTTCATCATCACAGGAACAAATTACATTTGGAAAAATATTAATAAATCTTACAGAACTTTTGAACCTATTTTTCTGGCCAATGGCGTACCTTGTTCAAAGTATGCATGATACATTTCACCATTAAAACAATAAAGCAACCAGTTCACACTCATTTCTACAGCAGAGAGGTACAGATTTGGAGAGCTGTGTGTGTGTGTGTGTAGATAAATTTAAAGGTGATGCATATAATTTTTGATGTTTAAAGTGACATTGCATGGCAACATTGACTCAACCAATGACATTTTGGGAGGTGGGGCTGGGGCGACACTACCGTTCAAAAGTTTGGGGATAGTACGATTTTTTTAGTTTTTGAAAGAAACGCTTTACATTTCTCAAAAGTGACGGACATTTACAAAAGATTTCTATTTTACATAAACACTGTTGTTTTGAACTTTCTATTTAACAGCAAATACTGAGAAAAATTTCTCAAGTTTCCACAAAAATATATTAAGCAGCACAACTGTTTTCAACATGAATTATAGTAAGAAACGTTTATTGATCACCAAATCAGTATATTATAATGATTTCTGAAGGATCATGTGACACTGAGGACTGGAGTAATGGCTGCTGAAAATTCAGCTTCATCATCACAGGAACAAATTACATTTGGAAAAATATTAATAAATCTTACAGAACTTTTGAACCTATTTTTCTGGCCAATGGCGTACCTTGTTCAAAGTATGCATGATACATTTCACCATTAAAACAATAAAGCAACCAGTTCACACTCATTTCTACAGCAGAGAGGTACAGATTTGGAGAGCTGTGTGTGTGTGTGTGTGTGTGTGTGTGTAAGGGTAAGGGTGAGTGCTATGGAATACATGGCATGTGCCGATAAGGTCAGTTGGTGTCGTGGTGATAAATGTCCTCCTTCCTGAACTGGCCTGAGTCAAACCACTGTTCCCAGCGACACACTTTTTGATGTTCCCTCAATGAGAGATGGGCCTTATCTCCTTTGAGATAACGGTGCGAAAAAAGTGGAGGGGAGAGAGAAAAAATGTTGAAGGAGGGAAGGAAAATAAAAAAAGAAAAATAATTAAAGGTAGTTTCTTAATCTCACTGTCAGAGAAGTGTTTGAGGCCCCCGCCTGGGGCACAAGGCCCCATGGGAAAGGGCCACATGGGTCAACACCAACAGAGAAGAAAGAAAACACAAGCTCTTTCCAAAACCTAGTGAGCTGCTTTGTTCCCTACATAAGCAACTGTTTTCAAAAAGCAGCATCCTAACAATCACAAATCTGTATAAATTTGAAAAAGGCAACAACTCAAATAGTGCTTTGCACAAGATAATCAACAGACAATTGATTTCTATAGTCTGACATCAACAAGCTGCTAAGCTAACTGCACGATACTCTATTAAGAACCAAAATACATTGCACACATAAACATTACTAAAATAAATTACACTGAATTATTTTTTTTAAATACTTTTCACTACTTAATGAACTATTTACAATTATTTATAAATGGTAGCATAATTAAGTTTAAGTTTGGCCTTTTTTGTAACTATGTTAGGAGATCACTAGAAATTTGGAACAGAGTGACTGTCACAAAGTCCAGAGCCGGATCCACAAATTCTTAATAAAATTATTTTTTACTGATATTTTTTTCTTAAGTTAAGATTTTTTTTCTCAAAAATATTTCTTGAGAATGTTAACTTTTTCCTTAATATTGTTCTATAGACAAAATTTAAGAATTTGAATGTGTGAAATTGTTCTGAAAAATCATTGCAAATGACCTATTAAAGTGATAGTTTACCCAAAAATGAAAATTCTGTCATTATTAACTCACCCTCATGTCGTTCCAAACCCAAAAGACCACAAATTAAGATATTTTTGATGAAATCCGAGAGCATTCTG